AACGCTTAAATGACATAGTTCAAAATCAATAGACTCTCTCCTTCCCTTTTTTTGAACAGCTTGGACTCTTTTCAAAGACTCAACTACATACTCAAACAAATCTGGATGCATATGCTGTATTTTTAGGGATTCGTGAAGAAAAATGTATGAAAAGTTTCAAGACTTTAAACCGTATTTTCTGTAATTCATATTTTAAATTACTTTTTAGGTTATCATAGATGTGTATTAATTATTTTTTGTGAATTTTATGCATACTTTTAACAAATGTAGATGCATATGCTGCATTTTAAGGATTCGTAAAGTTTCAAGACGTATTTTCGTGACGTAGAATGAAAAGTTTCAAGACGTATTTTCTGTAATTCATGTTTTAAATTACTTTATAGGTTACCATAGGTGTGTATTAATTATTTTTGCGAAATTTCATACATACTTTTAACAAATATAGATGCATATGCTACATTTTAAGGATTCGTAAAGTTTCAAGACGTATTTTCGAGACATAGAATGAAAGGTTTCAAGACGTATTTTCTGTAATTCATGCTTTAAATTACTTTTTAGGTGATCATAGATGTGTATTAATTATTTTTTGTGAAATTTCATACATACTTTTAACAAATGTAGATGCATATGCTGCATTTTAGGAATTCGTAAAGTTTCAAGACGTATTTTCGTGACGTAGAATGAAAAGTTTCAAGGCGTATTTTCTGTAATTCATGTTTTAAATTACTTTTTTGGTGGCCATAGGTGTGTTTTAATTATTTTTTGGGATATTTCATGCATACTCTTATAAAATCTAGACGCATATGCTGAATTTTAAGGATTCGTAAAGAAAGATGGATGAAAAGTTTCGAAACGTATTTTCTGTAATTCATGTTTTAAATTACTTTTTAGGCTGTCATAGGTGTGTTTTAATTATTTTTTGTGACATTTTATACATACTCTTATAAAATTTAGACGTATATGTTGTATTTTAAGGATTTGCAAAGAAAGATGGATGAGAAGTTTCGAAACGTATTTTCTGTAATTCGTGTTTTAAGTTACCTTTTAGGTTACCATAGGTGTGTTTTAATTATTTTTTGGTGAAATTTCAGCTTTAAACCATTTTCTTTTTCAATCTATAATTTTATTTAAAGCAATTTAAAAGCTCACGTTTTGGTATGAAAAGTATTATGTTAGGATTATTGATATATGATATTAAAAGTATTATCGTTTTTGTTTCACAAAATCAATTTTTTTTTCATTCACGGTTTCTAATTGCGTTCTTAAATTATTTTAGTTTAAATAGACTTTTAAAAGAAGTTAATAGAAGTTATGAGATTAAAAAAAAATCAAAATAATTAAAAATCATATCGTTAATCAAAATAGTTTTTCCATAACATTGAAATTGAATATTTTTGAGGTTTTCAAAGATCTGGTATGTATCGATGTGTATTAAGCTCTAGCTTCAATTTCTTTCTTGTTTGTAAACTTTTAATAAATCGTTGAGTTTAAATTTTTAAAATAAAAAAAGTGCATAACAATGCAAGTAATATTGTGCAGTGCTGAAAAAGGGAACACCCTAATTGAGTTTTGGTTCAATTATCGTATTATCAAGTACTCTATGTAAATGGTTTGAGAGCTTAACTTTAAATATGCTAATTACTTAGTGCAGACGATATTCTAAGTTATAAAATCTGACTCAAAAACGAATTTTCGTTGAATACTTTTTTCCCCCGAATGGATTTGGATTCTTACCCCACAAATAATTTTAAAGTTATTATAAAAATTAATCTGTATTTATTAATAATTATTTTATCAACCGACCACAGCACTGACGTAAATTATCCTCAGTGATAGACGGATCATGGGTTAGAGTTCCATTGTCGAATTTTTAAAGTAAAGAATAGAATTCGCTAGAACTCTACTGGAATAGAAGATTAATAGAACTCTCAATTCTTTACTTGGGGGGTTTGGTGAATAAAAAAATGGGTTATTAGGGGGTTTGTTACCCTCTTGCTGCGTGATTTCATACGTGAAATAAGGTAGTTTATCATTTCCTGTGACTATTTCATACCTTTCGACTCCAACGAATGTTAAGCATGATCATGCATGTCTATTACAATTGTTAAATGGTTATTCGTTTTGTATTATATCAATGTATGAGCATATCAAATTTCATTAAAATTGGTCCAGTAGCTCTAGAGATAATAGACCAAGTTTGAAAAATTCTCTTAACTTCTTACAACAGTATAGATAAAAGGTCCCTTATAACAAATAACCTTTGAATTTGAAGTATGAATGTGCGATTATGTGTCTAAGAACTGAAACAACCAATATAAAGAAAGCAATATTTTAAACTTTAATTCTAAATATCCACAAGTGTTTTACACATTAGGATGATTTTCTTTTTACAAAGGAGAGGCATAATTTACAATTCATTTTGTGCATAACACATTTCCATGTCAAGTCCGTGATGCCGCAAAATGTTTTTTTTGTTCTTGTATCACAGCGAACGATCAGTCTGCTGAGTTCTGATTATCAGTTTTTTTTCTTTTTAGGGAAAATTTCATGTTGATCGTATTTTCTAAGATGTTTGTATCATATCAGTCAATCTAAATAAGTAATAAGTGCAGAACATTTACACTCATACAGATTTATCCTTAGTTCACAATATGTCTTCGTGTTCGCTTTTTCATAACTTTAATTTTATTTTAAAGAAACGTACATTTTTGCTGTATAAAGTTAAAGTTTAAATAATGTAGTTGTTTGTTTTAGATTTTGCATAGATGAGTTCAATTTATTTATGACATGTTGAACAGCAGCTAGTTATCGATTGTGAAAAGTTTTAAACTAATTTTTCAATGAACTAATTTTGAGTTAATTTTTCAGTTTAAAGAAACTTAAATGTTTGCTGTTTAAAGTTAGAATTTAAATAATTTAATTGCTTGCTTTAGATTTTGCATAAATGAGCTCAATTTATTTATGATATGTTGAAGAATATACAACAGCTAGTTATAGATAATGAAAATTTTTAAACTAATTATTCAATGAACTAATTTTGAGTTAATTTTTCAGTTTAAAGAAACTTAAATGTTTGCTGTATAAAGTTGGAATTTAAATAATTTTGTCCTTTGCTGTAGATTTTGCATAGATAGGTTCAATTTATTTATGATACGTTGAAGAAATAAAAAGTTATCCATAATGAAAATTTTTGAACTAATTTTTTAGTTATTTAACTTCATAAGGAAAGAAGGAAGGATAACTAAATATGTTTGAATATTCCCAATCTTACTNTAAGTAATTTAATTGCTTGCTTTAGATTTTGCATAAATGAGCTCAATTTATTTATGATATGTTGAAGAATATACAACAGCTAGTTATCGATTATGAAAATTTTTGAACTAATTTTTCAATGAACTAATTTTGAGTTAATTTTTCAGTTTAAAGAAACTTAAATGTTTGCTGTATAAAGTTAGAATTTAAGTAATTTAATTGCTTGCTTTAGATTTTGCATAAATGAGCTCAATTTATTTATGATATGTTGAAGAATATACAACAGCTAGTTATCGATTATGAAAATTTTTGAACTAATTTTTCAATGAACTAATTTTGAGTAAATTTTTCAGTTTAAAGAAACTTAAATGTTTGCTGTATAAAGTTGGAATTTAAATAATTTTGTCCTTTGCTGTAGATTTTGCATAGATAGGTTCAGTTTATTTATGATACGTTGAAGAAATAGAAAGTTATCCATAATGAAAATTTTTGAACTAATTTTTCAGTTATTTAACTTCATAAGGAAAGAAGGAAGGATAACTAAATATGTTTGAATATTCCCAATCTTACTTTTAAAGTTCAAATTAAAACATTTGAAATTTACAAAAAAGAATTTTTTCAAAAAAATATTTCCAAAAGTTTCAAGTATTTAATTTTTATTATAACTGGCAAAACTGTAAAAAATATTCCTGAATTTCAATTTATTAGATTCAGAATTTAATAAATTTGATCGAAAGTTAATAATCTATGAAAAGCAGTGGGATGTTCTATTCTAGCATAGGCAAGAAATGGAAAATTTTAGCGTACCTTTTTTTAGAAAATATTGAATTGATATTTTAAAGCATTTTTTTTCTATTGCCTTTTCTGTTAATATTGTTGCAAATAAAAATTGATAGCAAAAATAAAATTAGAAAAGATCAAAATTTTGATAAATTGTGCACTATTAAAGTATTATTGTGCACTATTATTGTGGGATAAAAACTGTAATAAAAAGCAATAAAAACAAGTGAAACGGTCATAGTTTTTATCCTTTAAGCTAACAACCACCTTAGAGTTTTAAAAAGTAACGATAATGCACATTGTTTTGTTTTGCAAGAAACGAAATTCTTGCTTTACTTCTTGTCTCAAAGTTTCTCTCAAATTCTTCTGCTTTGAAAGGTGTTTAAAGTGAGCGAAAATTAAACAAATATTTAATAAATATCTTCTAAATAAAGGTACAAAAAAGTTTGCTATTTTAACATAAACTGTCGTAGAACATCCAATTCCCCTTAATGCATTTTAACCTATAACGCAGATTGGACGCCGGTGTCCCTTTCATATATTTTTTTCTAATGCTCTAATTTCAAGAAAAAATATATTTTGGTACTTTTAATTATAATAAATAATCCAATAGTTACTAAAAGACCTGTTAAATTATCGGAATTATATTTGTATTAAAAAATAAACTATAAAAAAAGTAGTTTGATCTTTTTTTTCATTCATATTCGAAAATTTATGAATACTTGATTTTGTAAACTACAGAAATTTCAATGATAAATAACTGCTTCACTTATATCTTAATGAATGCAAATTTGAAAAAAAAAATTATTGCTTGGAAGTCAGCCGCGTTTGGAAGATTTTACCTCTAACTCGGAAAAAGGCAACGATGTTTCATGCTCTATTTCGTAACCATAAGTTATTAAAATAATAAATACAACATTTTTCACTTATTTTAACCTAAATCAATACAAAATAGCTAAAAGAAGCATGAAATATTTGTTTAATAAGAATTCTGCATCAAAGGGTTAGGAAAGATATTTTTCAATTTCTTCCCGTATCTGTGAGAAAACTTTTGCTCAGTTTTCTGGTGAATTAAAGCATTTGTATTTAAACTATAAATGCATTTTTTCATCAACTAAATCTCTCTTATGTTGGTTTTTGTAAATTGATTATTTTTTTAAAATATTTCTTGTAGGAATTATTTTTCAGTGGGTTTTTATGCCCCTTATCCATATCAACACTTTTCTCTTTCATTCTATAAGAACTTCTTGCACCAGTCTTCAAGCAATACTGTATCTTTCAGCATAGGCCGCTTGCTACTGTACATATTTTTGTCGCGCTATGTACAAATCCTTTTGCAAAGTGAGATTGCTAGTTCGTGGCACCCAGACACTCACATTCACTTGAACTAAAATAGGACGTTTGCATAGAATATAGTTTGTCTATGGGGTTGACGGAAGAAGGGAATATGTGTCCCCCGTCGCCCATGGTGGCCGTCTGGCCTTGGCTGATTAAAACATCCTCAAGGCCACCAAGGCTACCTTCACTGTCCATGCTTATATCACTTTTCATGTACTGTGTGTCCGGATGAGATGAAGAATAGTACTGACCTGGAATAGAAGAACAAAATATTTTAAACTCTTACCATTTAAAACGTTCTTAATCTAGAATAACAATTCGTGAATAAGTTCTGAATAAAGCTATAAAATAGTTATTGGATGCAAAAAGCAAAGCTACATTAAATTTTTTCCGTATGACCATTGTTAAAAACTTGTACTTATGCCAAATGACTAGAAGGTATTGAATGTTCTGAATAAAGTTCTTCATGGATTGTATGTGTTACCAGAAACGCATGAAGTCTGATGTTGTCGGTAATGCCAAGAGTGAATGGCTAAAATCGGCAGTCAAAGTTCAAAATGATTACTAGTCCACAAGTTGCTTTAAGCATCCTATAGAAAAATTAAAAACCTAAAAGTATTCTATTTATTACATGAAATCTGGCAATCTAGTCATTGAGTGCAATGCTAAGAATATATAGTCAAATGGCAAAAGTTGGTCGGCAAAATATGAAATGATTGATAGTCCACACTTTGCTTCTAGCATTCTATGGAATGATTAATTAAAAACCTACAAGCTGAAGCTAATCAAAACATGAAATGATTGCTAGTCCATACATTGCTTGTAGAAGTTCATTAATAATTCTATAAAATGATTAATTAAAAACCTACAAGTATTCTATTCAATGAATAAGCAAATTTGTAATAATTCACATCTTCTAAAAGTTTTCCTAAAGCGCATTGGTTATGCTTTAATGACTAAACAGTATATAGGAATTTTTATTTTTCATATTTTGACTAAAAGACCTAGCATTCTGTACAATGAATGCAACGAATAGATATTCTATAATTCTAGATATTCTAGATAGTGGCTTGAAGCCTATCCAGCTTAAGTTCGTTGGATACTAGCTTGTCAAGAAAATAAAGACGACTTGCGCACAATGATAACCGTATTGCCACAGTTATGCAATTGGCCCGAAATTGTGAAGCCTTGACAGTCATGACCTCACTAGTCCACAATGGACCGTTTCAGGAATGCTGTGCTTCTATATTTTTACACACTTTCTTTTCTTCTGTACATTTTGAAGAGTGGTGTTTGTTTAGATTATTGGTGTTCGTATTAGTGGGTTTGAATTGCATGTTTAAAGTTTGTGAATTTATATCGGCATTACTTTATTTACAAATTCGGTACAATCAAGAAAATTATTCAATGTACAGGTACTAAGAAATCACATGTTTCAATATCAAAAGGAACAACATGCTTTTGACTTACTTTATACATTTATGCAACGCAACGCAGGCGAATTTCATGCGAACAAATGGGCTAAAAGCAGAAAGCGCATAAACGTTGATGTAAGTAGATAGCATAGGGGAATAAAGCAAAGCAGTCAGTTTGTGGGAAAAAAAGATTTCAGATTTAAAAATTGTAGTAAATGATGATTTGAATTTACATAGAGGGATAAACCGAAATCAGACTGAACTTAACCACTTCTCGTTTTTTGGCTGTTAAACTTAACTCTAAAACTTCATAATTTAAATCTTATTACAGAAAAGATTTGTTGATAAAGTTCACAGTTCTGTAAGTTAAAAAATAACATCTTTATAATGTAACTTTGTAAATCTAGAGAAAAAACTATAAACATATCTTTACTTTTAAATATTTCCGTCCTTCATCATTAGTGTTTAATAACAATCTTAAAAAGATATTTAACAGAAGTATTTTAGTTTAACGTAAATCATTTATCATTCTAATTCATTTAAATAGTTTTTTCACGATCACGAATTAAAGTTAAAATTTAGGCTTCATTAACTTCATCGTAAAAGCAAGTAAAAGGGTATGTTTTTCAAAAAAATTTTCGATTTGATCATTTTAAAAAAAATTAAAAATTTTAATAAATATTATGTAGATAGCTCTACATATTTATATACTCATTCTATTTCATTTTTTAATATAAATATTATTAAAAAAGTAATTAAAGGGCTTTGCTGTATTGCAGTATTCAACACTTTTGATGTTTTTTGAAGTGAAAATTGATTTTGGTTAATTAAAAGTATAACTCAAATCAGAAAATATGAACTGTTAGGAAAATATGTACTGCTCAGATCAGACAGTTTTATTAGAGTTTAAACCAAGCACTTTTAAGGCAGAATAATAATAAACATTTATTCTTTTTTTCTTTTTTTTTAAACTTCAGCTTATTACCTATTATTGATTCCATTTTTTTTTTGTCTTATTATTGTTTCTAGTTTTTTATGTGTCTTAAAATGCTATTTAATGTATAATTGAGAAATTAAGAGTGTTTTTTATGCAAATGTTGCGGGGACATCAATAGAAGCAAATGAACGAAATCAGAAGGGTTGAGAAATACTATCTCACTCACCTTCTGTTGTGTAGGGTAGTGCACCTAAAGGGAACTGTGAGGGGTCGGAGTCTCCCACCGAAAGGTGAGCGTATGGTGGGGCTGCAAAAAGTAAAAAAAAAATATTTATTTTCCCCTTTTAAAAATTAATTTTAATTACAGACAATAAAATCTCTTAAGTTATCAATCGTATTTCATCAGGATACCCAGCTTTCATAAAATAAGTCTTCCAAAACGCTTTCTACCATGAAAAGAAGATGACACCAGATGGCGCTGCTAAAGCTAAACATTGAGAAGTTCCATCAAATAAACATAAGCTCTTGTTAAATATTGGGAAGTTTTTATTACAAAATTTATCATTTCATTCTGATTTTTTCTAATGGAATATAAACTCACCATTTTATACTATTCGGGTTATCAGGAATACCACAGGAAAATTAAAACTTGTTAATATGGAACTACCAAGCTATTTCAAACGCTGAAATTAATCTCATTTGACCGTTTGGTTTCGCTGCGATACGCAACTTAAAACAAAATAAAATCTCGCTAAATAGCATCGTGACGATTTTTTTAAAATTTTTCATCTGTCATTTGGTTTCCCTGTCCTATAGAATTCTGGCGAACACTTTACTACCATAACAAACGCAAATAGCTGTAATATGATCTAGAAATATTTGTCAAAATGTCTAAATAAACAAGTTTTATTAATGTACCATGGACATTGTTTAAAAGGAATTTGAAGGATATAACTATTTTAAGAAATTGAAATCTGATCATTAGTTGAAAAATTACAAAAAGAAAAAGAAAAAATCAACAACGCAAAGAGTTAACTTTAAATAAATTGGAATCTTTTTACGGAGTTACTTATTTACAGACAGCCTGTTAGAAAGAGTGTTAAAATCGCTTGTGGTATTGACTTGTCAAATTGAATCATTAAAAGTAGTAGTTCAGTGTTAGTTACCCCTTCAGAAATGGTAAAATGAGAAAGTACTTCTCCACGTCTGCACACTCCGAGAATATACGAGTCCGTTTGATCTTGTGACAGAAAGCCTCATATTAT